TTATTAGAGGTGTGGAACATCTATAACCCACTTTTAAAAAATATTTATTCAATGCATTGTCACACCAGCATTCCATTAATATATATATATATATATATATATATATATATATATATATATATATATATATATATATATATATATATATATATATATATATATTAAGGTTATCTCTAATGAATTGAACTCTTAAGAGTTCAATGCATTGTCACATCGACATTCAACCAACTACACTATTTTACTCATTAAACTTTACATTCCATTAAACTCAATTAAAGTTTAAAGGATCACCTCATCACCACCTTATTATATCTTTTAATGCATATTGTGACTTGAGTGTGGGGATTGTTATATTTTGATATTGTCAAATGTTGTTCTATGACCACACAGTTATAAATGTCATTATCAAGTGAGGTATGAACTATGCAAGAGACGTATGTAGTTAATATGAGATTTGTTCCTCTTATGTATTGAGAGTTAGACATTTAACACGTGTTACCAAAAGTTAAACACCAAATGAAATTGTTTGTGATCCAAATCTCATGTTCAACATGATGTCTATAACAAAAAGGATAACTGATAAACGTACCTTATACATCAATTGTAACTTTGAGGTTTTGGGAATTAGATATTAATAAAGGGCATTTCCGTCGTAGGTTATTGGGGGTAGTAAAATGTTGATAGACGTTCACCACTATCTATATCAATCTACGATAAGTCTTGTGCAAGTGAAGACTGAAATATCTATATTCTCAAGAATCATTTTAGAATGATATTTGCTAATAACATATGATCCTATATGATCACACCTTATAAATGGTTATCACTTATTGATTATTTATTAGAATTTGATTACTAATAAATATTATCAACGCTTGTATTTAATTAGGAAATTATTAGTTTTGAAAATAATATTTTCTAAGATAGAAAAACAACTAAAAACACATATGGTATGGTTTATATTTTGTGTACATCTTCAGAGACCCAGACACATTTCATGAATTAAAAAAAAAAACGGCCAGTGAGTGGTCTTAGGTCGTCGGTGGTTTTGATTCACGTTATTCGAAAATCAAACATATGGTTGCTTGTGAAATCGATGGAGGCAGATCCAAAGTTGATGAAATCGATTAAGCCCTAAAGATCATTGGTGGTTCTTGATGAAATCGATGGAGGAAATTGCCCGATCAGACCTTCTTATCCGCCACAAGATTTAGACTACCAGAAGAAATCAGAAAGACAAAATTGCAAAAATGGTCCCTGTGTTTGGCAAAATTATGCGACTTTGATCCAAAACGATACTATGATGCACCACTGGTCCAAAATTGGATTTTTCCATTGTTTTTGGTCCCTCCCACTAACTTCCGTCCATATGCTCCGTTACCTGCAATAAAGATGGGGGTATTTTCATCTTTCCACTTATAGGGACCTTTTTTGCAACCTTATTCAAAATAAAAGCAGAGCTACATCACTATTCCATCTTCAACTTCACGAGCTTCATACTCTTCCTACTCTATGTTCACAATTTCTTAGAGATCAAAAATTAAAATGGTGATGTGTTTTTGTGGTAGGGACGCGGTGGTTCGCACCTCCTGGACATCAGCAAACCCTGGTTGGAGGTTTCTTTCCTTCCCTCAAAAGGTAAGTGTTCGATTTTGCTATTTTACCCTCATTTTGGAAAATCTCCCTCATGTTTAGGGTTTTGTTTTTTTACGTGAAGGGTTCCAGATGCAGATTCTTAGGATGGATTGATCCTCTAATATGTGCAAGATTTATGCTGATAATACTCGGATTATTGGGGAATATCAACAATGCAAACTATGAAGTGGCAAGATTGAAGATGTGTTTGTTTGCAAGTTGGTTACTATTGTGGTGGCTTGGGTGCTTTTCATTTAGTAATAAGGAATTAGGGACCCCTGTAGTTGCATGTAATTTTGGGTGTTTTTTTGTCTTATGAAATTGTAACAATGGATTGTGGTAGTTTTTGGTATTAGATAATGTAATATCAGTTTAGGGTTATTTCGGACAACTTCATAAATTTGTACCCTTTTCAAGGATGTAATGACAATGTATTGCAGTTATCACCTAATGTTAATGTTTATTTGTTGTTTCAGAAAAATTTTGTTATAACCATAAATGTGTTCCATAAACATGACAACAAAGTTGGTATAAACCATAAACATCATTCTTCAACAATGACAAAAGGTTGACATTAGTTTCATGACCAAAAGGGCTAAAAGACCAAAATAAAACCATTACAACAAACTAGGTTTAAACCATTACATCCAAATGCACAAAAGTTGTGCTAAACCAAAAGATAAGTTTTTAAACAAAATACACTAATTCCTGCATTGACTGCTACCTCCATTCCCTCCTTGACTGCATCATGCATTCCCTCCTTGACTGCTTCCTGCATTTTCTCCTTCATTGCTTCCTGCATTCCCACCTTGACCCTTGCATGTCCTTGAGTTATGACCCCTATTGTTGCATTTCCCACACCTGACACTAACAAACTTTCTGGTAAGTTTTTCAGGTTCACCTGCACCATGATTTTGCATCTGTTTATCATATTTTTCATATGCACTTCTCTTTCTGGTCTTAGGTCTCCCAGGTTGATTGTGATGTGGTGGTGGTGTTAATTGAAATGGACAGGTACTTTTTGGCCACATGGCTCTACCCTTTATAGGGTCCACAGTGTAAGAGTAAGTTGCATTCCATGTTTGAAGCCAATACACTTTGTTGACATAAGTGTAAAGCTCCCCAACTTTGTCGCCACTATCAGCCATTTCATGTATTGTAGCTATGGCATGTCTGCATGGAATCCCATTCAATTCCCACCTTCTACATGTACATGACATATTTGTCATGTCAACCACATGCTGGTCATGCCAAGGACCATAAACTTCATACTTTGCAGTCCCATTCCATCTAGCTCTATATTGGACTAAAGCTTCCCTATTTCTCTCAAGTAACTGTGATGCTGTTGGAGTGAGTGGACCTAGAGCTTTGGACATCACTTTCTTCACATTGCAGATCCTCTTCATAAGGTACTGCCTAATGTACTCAAGACAACTTATGATGGGCTTATTCCTACCATGAATAAGCTTACTGTTGAAAACCTCATACAAATTGTTGAGCAATATATCTGATCCTGCTCTGCCTGTATTAAACAAGAAAATTATATGAACTAAATCATATACAATGAGCACTCGTAAAGATTCACCTAAGTTAGGGAATATAACCTAAAAAGTAGCTTCTGGCCCAATGGTGAGGGGGGATTTTCTTCAACCACTCAAAAGCATCCTTATCAAACTTGTTAAGTTCATTCATGTAGTGTTCAAATTCGGGTACTATGGTTGCTATTGCACACTGCCATAAGTGATCTTTATACTCTTTTGTTTTCCATTTTTCCTCATGTTCTCATAAATATGTCTTAGATAGAATCGATGCTCAGCCCGTGGGTATAGTTGTGTAATAGCAGGTAAGAGTCCCTATAAAGGATTATCCCACATAATCATTGCAACAATCATATACAAATAAACTATTAGTAATACAAAAAGAAGAAAATAGTACCTTTTGTCTATCACTCATGAAAGTAAAGTTAGAATTTAAGTACAACTCTAAGTCATCTCCCAAGCATTCTAGAAACCATTTCCAGCTACTCATATTTTCAGTCTCAACAATGGCATATGCAAGTGGGTATATGCAGTTGTTTGAATCCAATCCAACTATTGTGAGTACTTGGCCTGGAAATGGTCCTTTCATAAAAGCACCATCTAGTCCCAGAATATCTCTTAAGCCTGCTTTAAACCCTTTCTTTAATGCCCCTAAGCAAATATACACCCTTTTAAACTGCCTTGTTTCTCTAGCACTGTTAGGCTCATTAACAACCTCAAGCTTCACAGTTGTACCTACATTAGTTGCTTGTAGTTCCATAAGATAATCTCTTAACACCTCGTATTGATTTGTGTAGTCACCACTCACTTGCTTTGTAGCTGCTGCTTTTGCCCTCTGTACTTTGTGTATGGACACACCAACTTGAAGCCTCTTCTGAACTTGGTCTTGAATGCTTCGAAGGGGTAATGTAGGGTTAGACTCGACCATATCTAAGATTTCTGCAGATATATACTTCGCAGTGCAAGCCCTAAGTTTTCTAGTTTGAACACAAGTATGTTTGTCCAGTAAAGTTTTCGCATACCAATAATCACTATCTTTTGACCGTGAAGTCTGCATTGACCAAGAACAATTTAATTTATTGCCCTTACCTACCCCACTTGCATTTACATTAGGTACATTACCTTTACACACAACCCTAAGCCTTGTTTTGTCGTTTTTCTTGAAGCCAAGATTCCTTCTAGTCTTAATGGCAAGTTTGTTGACTTTGTCCTTAATTTCCTTTTTACTTTTATACTTTTGACCCACTTGAAAAGTTACTGCATGGACTTCACCAAGAGAGCATTTCTTCTCCTTCACCATCTGTTTTAATATTGCTTTCCTTCTTTCATCGTCACTATCTTCACCTAATGAGTCACATTCATCATTATCAATTACTTCAACATCTTCAACATCTTCTGTATCAACAACTTCATTTTCAGTCTCAACACCTTTTCCTCTGTCAACATATTCAACATCTAGATCAACATTCATATAGAAATCACTCATGTCCACCTCAATATCACTTACATAGTTTTCTTCATCTTCAAGAAAGTCGATGTCTTCCTCACTCCCTTCACTACCCCCTTCACTACTTCCTTCACCAAGTCCTTCACAAACTCCCTCACTTTCAAATTGAACTTCACCTAGTCCTGTGCCAAGTTCTGCACCAACTCCCATACTGTGATCATTACCATCATTAAAAGTATATTGGTCAAAGAAAGGATCAAAGTCTTCAAATTGAAATGGTTGTCATCAAAGGTATCAAACTCTCTTGTATTTACTTCTTGGTCACAAAGATTTGCACCCTGATCATGAACTTCTGTATCTTGATCACCAACAGGTGCACCTTAATCACTAATATTTGCACCATCATTACCAATTTCAACATGTGCATCTTGATCACCAACAGCTGCACCTTGCTCACTAATATTTGCACCTTCATTACCAATTTCAATATGTGCATCTTGATCACCAACAATTGCAATGTGTTCCAAGTTGAAACACAATTTCTTACTACATGATTGACTCCCTTCAACTAACCTCAATCTCCTATTTGAATTGTATTCGGGTGTCTCATATCTTACTAAACACAATTCAAGATTTGGGACATCTTGATCACCAACAGTTGCAGTGGGCACATCATCTGCTATTTCCTCAATTATGACCCTAGGTTTAACTCTTGGAGACATAAAGTATGTAAGTAACTTAGTTTCATTATGTTCAGTGTATACCTTGATGATCTTATGATGTTCAATGTACTGTGCAAGACTAAGTACATCAATATCATTCCCTAGAGCTCTAAGACCAAACTCCAAATCTCCAGTTGGCAATTGATAGTGGTAGTAAATGACTGGTGGTACCTCATAACCAAGCTTTAGCATCACCTCGTCCAACTCATGCACAGAGAACTCATCCATGTCTACCAAATCAACGTGGTCTAATTTTCCTTTAATGTAGCTTATCCCTGAGAATTTTGTGAACCTCCCTCCATGATGGAGCTCAATAGTGAAAATCGTGGGATATCCTTCTGTAAAAATCATGAACCAAACCAAAAAAACATTACTTTATATGGATTGTAAAAGATTTTTTTGTTTCAAACAAATATGTAAGAAACAGAGTACGATACCGTAAATTCGGATTGCATCAAAATACTGATTTCTTGGCCTGATTTCCCACATTTGGAGCATACTCGTGGATTCAAACTTACGATTGCGGTTGATGATCAAATGTAAGATTTCAATGAACGATTAGGGTTTTCGATCAACAAAGTAGGTTTAGTGGGTAGAGTGAAGGGTCGTTAACTGTGTATATCATTCAATAAGGCGGTAATTGATGATATGGAGGTGGAAAGACGACAATACCCTCGTCTTTATTGCAGGTAACGGAGCATATGGACAGAAGTTAGTGGGAGGGACCAAAAACAATGGAAAAATCCAATTTTGGACCAGTGGTGCATCAAAGTAAACCTCAAAATCAATTCCTTCATGTTGTATGTATTCGTTGGGCTAATTTTGAACCAAAAGAATGTGAGAGATAGAGAGAATGCGAGAGATAGAAAAGGAGAGTGTTTAGAGAAAGAGATAGATCACATTTTGAGAAAAGAGAAGGAATAGTATTTCTTTTAATTTTTATATTATTAAAAAACAAAATCAATAATAAAAGGTAAAAAGGAATATAATTAAGGGTATAACAGTCTTTTTAAATTGATCAGTGACCAAACGCATAATAAAAATATACAATAAGGACAATCCAAGTTAAAAATCTTTATAGGGACCAACTACGCAAATTACCCCAAACCATAGGGACTATTCATGTAATTTACCCAAAACTAAAAGTGATAAATTTGTAGTCTAAAATCACGTAAAAACTCTAAACTACAAACTGGGAAAAAACGTATATTAATCCGACTTCAAACAAATGAGATATGCATATCTTAAACTTTTTCATTAAAACCAGTTCCAATTCTTAAAGCGGTTTACCCGGACCTGAAAAACCCAAACCCGGATTACCCCGAACCGGTACGAAGCCATTATTTTAAACCTGGAACCCAGATCAGCTTTACATATTCCGGTTCTAACGGTTCGGTTCCAGTCCGATTCCGGTTTTGAATCTCCTCCCTATTTTTAACTACATAATTTTCATTTGTGTGACGCTCATACATTCATCTAGTTTATATAAACTCCACGCATTTACCAGATTCCATTTCTTTAAAAACACTTGATAAACCAAACACCCACAAAGGAGATACATCATATTCCAATCCTCTATATGTATTTTTCATAAACCCAAAACCCTTAATATATAGTCGGATCATACATATTGAATTCATAAATTAAGATAATACTAAAAATCTAAACATTTAACATGTATTCAATAAAAAGTGGCTACGGAGCATACAAGCTCACTTGTAGAGATCCTCCATGGTGGTTTTGAGGAGCTTCACATCGGCCCCAACAATTTCTGACACCTTCTTTCCTCCTTGAAAAAAGTGGAGAGTTGGCTGCACTTACAATATAAACACATGTCTATATGTGAGCATGTATAACATTTTCAGGGACCGAAATTGACAAATTTACGAGTACATGGGCCAGTTTTGATTGTATTCATTACTAGGGGATCAAATGTGTGAAATTGAAAACTTTAGTTAAAAATGACACATGTTAAATGGGAAGCATAAGTAGTTTACCACAGCAGAAATATTTAGCTTTGCCAATGCATCACCCATACCTTCCTGCAATGAGAAGGGCATTAACGTCTTTTGCACAAACAAAAAACAAGTGGTATATGAAATGAAAGAAATGCTTAGAAGTATGAAGGTGTGCTTACTTGATCGATATCAATCTTATAAGTGGTGACATTAGTGTATTTCTCACTCAACTCCCCAATAAGAGGAGATACAAACCTACCTGTGAAACAAGAAATATATATACTTTAAATCAAGTGTAAAACAAAATGAAGTGAAGAGTACTTTTAAGAACTCAACCCTACATTAGAAAAAACAAAATATATATAGAAAAATAAAAGTCTTACATGGCCCACACCAGACAGCAGTGAAGTAAAAGACTGCTGGCAAGGATTCATCTGGTCACATTATAAAAATACATAAGTATATACACATTGTGCATATAACACATATAATCAGTATATGTATATGTAATTATGTATATGTATAGTTACTAACCTTGAATCTTGCGAAGTAAGGTGTTAAATTCAGCTTCTGACTCGACTGTTACCACTCTAGATCCACCTGCTATAATCATTCGTTTTAGTAAAAAAAAAGTGATTGTTACAACTATACAGGCACTATCAGCATAGTGGTATAGCAATTCAATATCACACAAAGACTTTATAACAGCTGCTTTAATATGGCTTGTTCTGGGATTATAACTATAAATATCACAATCAATTCCAAACAGCACATTCAAGCACCCTTAAAATGCCCACTCAAGAGAAGCTAGTGATTCAGATTATATAATGACCTTTCGGAACACTGGTTTAGATTCTTTTGTTAATGAGAATTGTCAAAATAGAACAAAAGAAATGCCGAATTACAAAACAGAGCATATGTCAAGACAGGAACCCTAATCCCAATTGATTAATCCCTAAAAACACCCGATGTACAAAAAATGGTGAGCTGTTAATAGATAAATCATAAAAGTAAAGATCATACCCGACGAGGGAGAGGAACAGTGATTCCGATTAGAAGGCTGCTGCCCCGATTGAAATTTGGAGATGGGAATTGACCATGATGGTTTCGTCACAGAAGAGAAGGAACACGAGTACGAGTATGGAATTGTTGCTGGATTTGAAGAGGAAACTGATGCAATTTCACCAATGGAAGAGCAGATAGAGCCGCAATAAACTCCATTACGTACCATACGACGGATAGCGAAGATTCCCCTCATTTTGCTAAGGAGGGCGAAGCTGATTCTGATGGTAGAATACTACCAGGTTTGGGGACGGGGTTTAGCGTGAAAGGATATTTACATTTAGGCCCTTACACTTTTTTTCTAGAGCTCATCTTAGTCCTTATACTCAGAGGTCACCGCCAAAACCTTCTCCTATGTAAATATTGGTGACTCGGTGTAATGAATAGTAAATTTGTCTAAGAACGGGATTTGTTTTTTATCGAGTCGTATCCGTTCATATTTATATTTTTATATAGGTTGTGTTTGACGTGCTACAGCTAGTTGATAAACTAGATTATTTTTCGAGTTTTTTTATGTTGTCGTGTTTGGTAAGCCAAAAAGTAGCTTATAAGCTAACTTTTTGAAAAAGTACTTAGACTAGCTTTTTAGAATCTCTTTTAAAAATTTCCAAATACACCTATTAATTAATTATAGAAATACATACTCTCACATGTCCTTTTATGTAATTTTATATATTTCAGCTAGTTTTACCAAAAGCAAATGTCATATTAGCCCATCAAACTTTTTGTGTTTCTTTTAAAAGGTCACTAAACTATTTTTTTGCACATTAAGGGAATAAACTCTCATTTTCATGTTTTAAAATACCATTTTGTTACCTACAACCGGATTCAAAGGTAATATACATGTACGGCTCTCACCTCAAACTCATTTCTCCTTGCCACTACACCTCGCACCAGTCTCGCTCACTCAAAAGCCCTAGGAGATTAATCGTATATGCAAAGAAATCCAATGTATCTTCTGCCAGAGAAGGTGAAACCGAGAATCGATTTCAACTTCGGGAAGGTTTCTAATATGAAATCGTTGATTCCAGTTGTAAGTAATCCATCATCTTCGGGTTCTTTGTTTGGTAGACGTAAGGATCCAAATACGGTGTTTGTTGTCGAAGTTACTGGACAGGTTGGAATTAGCATTGCTCGGACTCTGCTCCGGAGCCACCATCTGATGAAGATGAAAACCCCAAACTATCAAAATCGAAAAAATGGAGAAGTAATCGAATCTGATGTTGAACAGCACCTGGAGCATTCGGCGATTAACCCCGAGTCCCAGCCTATCACCATTCTTCTCATTACCCACCACAACACCCCCAATTACGCCCAAATCAAACTCCATTTCGTTTCATGGCATCCACATTTTGGTTCATATCCATATTTTGGTTCGTACTTCGTTTATTTGTATATGGATTTTGTTTAAATGCAGGTCGGTGAAAATTTTTGGTTTTATGCCTAGTTACTTGACTTATGAAGTGTTTGTATTGATGTGATTGTTATATGATTGATGATTTTTACAAGTACTTACTGCTTTCTTTTCTGAAAATGTGTATGGATAAGATTCTTGTAGGCGCTAATAGTGACAAGAACAGAATAGAGGTCTAGTAAGTTGAAGGTGGATTGGAATTGGAGGGCAGATGGAGTTGGGATCTTCGAATTTCAGAGACTTAGCATTGAAACCTCTTATAAGGGGTTAAAGGACCATTTCAACCGGTCACATTCAACTTCATTCCCTTAATGTGCAACAAAATATAGTTTATTGACCTTTTAAAAGAAACACGAAAAATTTGATGGGCTAATATAACATTTGCCTTTTTACCAAACGTCATTTTTTATCAGCTAAACATTTCATCTATCAGCTATTTTTTTATTTAACAATTAGCTTTTCAGCTAGTACGCGAAACATAGCCTTAGAAGTTTGTGACTCCTTTAAGATGTCTCTTAAAAGTTTATGATTCAGGATTAGACTAGGATTAAGTCTAATGACAAGGTCTAATTCATTCAGATTCATATTATTTGATATCATATTTAGAAGTTCCTGACTCTTTTAAATTTTATCTTATTCAGTCAAATTTAACTCAATCAACAAATATCAAACAACTTATAGCTTTATATTAGTATCACTATATTTTCATTAAATTTTTAAATTTTTATTATAACCCTTTTTATTATGAGTTTTGATATATATATATATATATATATATATATATATATATATATATATATATATATACATACTAGGAAACTTATTGGGGACGTGATAATCATGGTCCTAAAGAATTGATCAGTAAGCTAAATTTTAATGATTCTAGGGAAAACACGATTTATACCAATAACATAACATTTGATTGGAATTTTTTTCTTATGCCGCCATGAAGTTCCCTGCCTGCATGAAGATGCCATGAAGAAAGGAACAACATTTTTCAAATAGTATCTCCATTGATTTCCATTAAAAAAACATAAGGAAAAGCTCAAGAACCAGCTCATCGGCTCATTTGGTCATCTTCTTGCCTGATCTCATACTACTACTCATAATGATGAGATTTGGTGTAATTCCTATTAAAATTGATTTCATATAGAACACATTTTGATACAAGTTTTTTGTCAATCTCAACCATTTGCATTTGCCATCCGAGTTGTGGAATATCCCCAAATTCAAAGGATTAATTTTATAATAATCGGATCTAAAGAGCTTACAACAAGACATGAAATAATAGAAATTTATACCTGTTACATGGTATTTTCATAATTTTTATTACTTTATTATAAACAGAAAAGTATGGTTAGTTGGTAGCTTTTGATTTTCTACAATTGCATGGTACTTGTACATTCTTATAATATATATGATTTTTTTGTAGATTATCATGAAGATAAATAAGTATTTTTTGTTTTTATGTCATCTTTGTTTGTAACACGTTACGACAATCTTTAAAAAAATGATAAACCTCATGTAACCTTTGGTCCATTATCTAGTTTCATTTAAATGCTTACATTATGATAAAAAAAATTCACAAAGATAATATACCATAATGTTGAATGAAACAAATAGAAGATTGCAAACCTGGTCATATTTGAGGTTAAACTTCAAAAACTCTTCACTACAACTTCCCACCATATATGTCAAGTGCTTGAGGCTTACGTTCATGACTTGACTTGTTAAAAGAAAAATCCTACATGAATGAAAGATAAATTAATAAATAAAGAATGAAATCAAATACCTATTTAACATATATATATATATATATATATATATATATATATATATATATATATATATATATATATATATATATATATATATATATATATATATAGATAAAACTCACTTCGGTTAATCGTTTGACAAAGGTGCAGTAGGATTATTGGAATTGTTAACATGATTCATATCCACATCCCTTGTTGAGGGTTATATGGTTTTGTTGGCAAGGTGAAAATACAGACAATTAATGTAAACATGACCATTGGATTGAAACTGTCATCAAAATTATTGAATTTCTATCCATGAACTTTGATCTAGGATTCAATCATCTAGGTTGTGTTATGTTCTATCTTACAGGTAATACAAAATATGATGATAATTTGTAATGGTAGTTATTTTACTATGGACAAAATAAATAATAATATTATCCTTTTATCATTTTTTTTTTATTTAACAACTTAACTACTTTTAAGTTATAGCCAATAATTCTAAAATTTTGAAAATTTAGGATTAAAAAAAATCATATTTAGATTATCAATAACCATTTGTTACAAGAAAACCGAAACATACCTAACTATCCGTAGGCCTACCTTTAAAGGAATTTCAGTTATCTTGCATTCTTAAGTGACACTAATCACACATCCAAACAAAGTATCAAATAAATACCTTTTCGATAATGTCAACAAATACTAATAAGCGTATATCGTAATTAAAAAAAAAAAAGTTCTTCAAGTTTTAGTAAGTTTTTTTATTGTGAAAATAAAGCAAAAAGGAGGCCGAAAGAAACTTACACTCGCCATCACAATCGGTGTATATGACAGTCTTCGTTTTAGCCTTTGATTCCTTTCGTATTTTTGAACAGGAAATTTGATATATATTTCTTGACAAAATTACCACCAACTTTTGAACAAACCAAGCCCAGGAAGCTCTGCAAAATATAAACACATGGGGCTGTAACCGGTTGTTACTTGACTATAGCTGATGGAAGATAAGGGGTTAAATGAGCAAATAGTACATAAACGATGAATAGCTATTTCTAGGAGGTTAAAGTTTGTGTTTCGCCAAACCAGTAATATCACTGTAAAAAAAGTAAATCAGTTCACTAAGAACATTGCTAAACTCAAAAATCAGTTTGCCTTTGAATGTATACATCTAAAATGAGATGCAAAGGTTCAACTATTGTGTCATGTATGAAGCATCCTCCGACTACAAACACAAGATTATGGATAAGACTTTCAGCAAAACAATCAAGACTTGCAAGAAAAGGAAGAAAGAGGAACGTGAAGAGGCCAAGAAGGGAATTGTTTTAAATGTTTACTTGGTTGTCTAGTTTTGCATCCATCTCTATAATCATGCTTGCATGCATCTTGATAGACATTGCCTTTGAAATCTCCTAATGTGCTAAACTCATGCATAGGCTCATATATTGAGCATTCTTGCTTCTACACATTCAAAATATACTCTGCCACAAAACAAAAATCAACTTTCAATTACATCATCTGCAATATTTTACCCAAAATATTCACAACAAATTAAACAATTTTAGCAATACAAACAGGGTAAATGGCACAAAAAACACTCTTTTTACACAGAAATTCAATTTTGACACCGTGTTTTTTTTTTTTTTTTTTGTCAATTTTGACACTGTGTTTTCCAATTTGTTACAATTCTGACCACTTGACCGGTTAACCAGGTTACATGCTGACGTGGCATGATGACATGTCAGTTTTGATGACGTGGCATGCTGACGTGTCAAAATTGAATTTTTTTCTCACAAAAAACACTAAGTTTTCATTTTTTTTTTTCGATTTTGACACTAAGTTTAATTTTTTTTTTTTTCAAATTTGATACTATGTTTTTTAGTTCCAAATCGAACATCATTTTTTCCAATTTTGTTCAATGTTGATAATTTTCTATTTGAAACCATATAAATATTTTTTTAATACATTTAAACCGTATAAATATGTTTTTTTTTTCATTTAAAAACTATAGTTTTGTATAAATACATTTTTTTTACACTCAAACCATATTTTTATATATAAATATGTATTAGTTATATAAAAATTGTATTTTATATTAAATATGCAACTTTAAAATGTGTTTGGAGGTTTGAAGGCATGTAGTCAATCAAAACTCATCAAATTTTTACATCTTATTAGAAGCTTATGGTTAGTGTAATTCTCATGATATAACTAATGCTTTGAATGTAAGAAAAAAAACACACTGTATTTAAATAAAAATGTGGTTTTTAAACGAAAAAATATGTTTATACGGTTTAAAATGTAATAAAAAAATATATTTATACGGTTTCAAATAGAAAATAGACAAAATTGAAGAAAATTTGATAAAAGATGTTCGATTCGAACAA